TCGGGACTATATGCCACGTTATGATGAACAAAGAGTCCCACTTACCACTCTCTATAGGGCAATACTAAACCGAGTAGCTTTCCTTGAGAGATCTGCAGCGCTTAACTGCCTAATGCTCGCAGCCACCTTGGCTGGACAAGACTGCCAAATGCCTCCTTCTGGTAGTGAAGCGCAGCTGTTTCTTATAAGCCTGCTAATTATTGGCTGGGAAGGTGTGGATGTCAGTGGTGCGTTTGTGGACATCATGTAAAATCCTACACCAGAATCTACTTCTCTACAGTAAGACACAGACATGAAACACATGAAGGGCAAGGGAGACTTAACAGGGGTGTTAGACACAAGGGGAATCTAATGACAAAGAACTATAACAACCTAGGCATGATAAAAATGAACTTAGAAAACCTGAAGGGCTTAAACATAAACCATAAACTAAAACTCAAAACGCTGGGTCAAAAGACCCAGGATCATGACACCATCATCTGTTTTTTCTTCGGTAACCTTTGGTCACACTCTCGGTTGATTTTTTTTCTAGTCGGCACACTCATTTCCTCCATTACCCGGCCGGCACGGCGGCTGGCTGCTTCCCAAACAAATACACATGTGCGGCTTGGCACTTGTGCTGTACGTAACAAGTCACGTGACATGACGCTGCAGTTGTGATTGGTTCGGCTCTGCGCTACTTAATTTGGATTGGCTGTTCTTTTTTTTAAGAGGACAAGAGAGATGAGGCCTATCGCAATAGATTAACTTTTCTATCGAGAAAAAGCTATGTCGCAATACATCTCGTTATCGTTCTATCACCCAGCTCTACGTGGCCCCTTTTAAATTTAGGCTTATGGCCTCTACCTCTTATGCGTATCGCAGCCGGTTCAGCCACAGGATCAAACAGTGGCTTAGTTTTTGCAGAGCACCACTCAACAAAATGATGGTAGTAGAGAACCATTCCTAGGAAGGACCTGATTTTCCTCGCACACAGTGTCACCCCGTCAGACTCCATCAGGTCTGCTTTCTGCACATTGTCTAAAGCCTGCATTTTACTTGGGTCTGTTTTCACACCCTCACCACATATGATGTGTCCCAGGAACTTCCCAGACCGCTGAAGAAAGTGGCATTTCTTAGGTGAGCACTTCAGGTTGTTGGCAGAAAGGCGCGAGAAAACCATCTGCAGACGTTCAAGTGCCACCTGTTCAGATGTGGCATAGACCATAAGGTTATCCAGATAACACAACAAGCTTGCGCAGTTCTCATCACCAAAAATGGACATTCGCATAAAAGTAGCAGGACTATTTGTCAGGCCTTGAGGCACCATGTTATACTCATGAAGGCAAAATGGGGAGAATGCCGTGTATTTTTTTTGTCGTCCTAGTGGAGTCTGACATTGTAAAACCCTGATGTGAGATCCATTGAAGAGGAAAAGACATTTCCCACCAAGTGCTGCAAGGGCGTCTGACTGATGAGGCAATGGATGTGCATCTTTAACTGTTCTTGCATTTCATCATCTGAAGTCATTGCATATGCGCAGGTCACCATTTGGCTTAACAACCAAGACAAGGGGGGATGAGAATTCACTCTGGGACTTACGGATTATCCCTGACTCCTCCATCTCATCTAGAGTAGTGCGAAGCTTCTCGAAGCCATATATTGATACTGTAAGATCATATGTAGCAGAAGGTATAACAAGGTGACCCCCACAACCAACAATGACAATGTCTTCGGCTGAACGTCTCTCAATATCAGGTATAGATTGTGAAAGTTTCTCATCAACTGTCTCACTTATGGTGCACGCCATAGATCCACTATCCACTAATGCTTTAAAAACTTGTCCACTACTAGTAGTCACTGCAGAGTAGAATAAGCTATCAGTATTTGGGAGCCTATGCAAGCCCTGTGCAATCAGTGTTTTATTTGGCGGTATGATGCCACTGTAAGTGGAATACAAAGTCTCATAATCTGTGTAGTCATGTCCAAAGTGGGAGGCTTACTTGCTGGATCTGCGCTGTCCTCCCCTCCACGCAGATCGTTCAGTTTCCCTGATGACCATTGAAAGGAGGACACTTGCCCTCTGGGCAGTTGCGTCTCGAATGATCAGGTACATGACACAGGAAGCACAATCTGTTTTCCCCACAGTGCGTGAGGGTGGAGTGGGATCTATCTCTGCAGATGGAACATGGTGTGTCATCCAAACACGGTATTTTTGGCAGTCGGGTACTCTGTCACCTGACATTAGCTCAAGCATAGCCTGGGCCTTGCAGCACCTTCTCTAGCATGCTGATCAACCTCTCAATAGCAGTGCTATCCTGACTCACAGCTGGTCTCTGCTCGTGGTCAGCCAAGCAAAGAGTAGCATTTGCGCTAACCTCTGCCTTATTCACATAGACACAGTCACCTGTCTGTGGAGAAGACTGGAACCCTTTTCCCCAGGTGATACTTATCCAGTACCTCCTGAACTTCACGAGCTGACCATTTATCACATGTTTTGACTCACATCAGTTATTGGGGGGTCTGAGGCCAATGCCTTAGTGCACTGTACCGACGGCGACTCAGCCACAAGCCCACAAGGGCAATCTGCTGCTCTATGCCCCACCCGACAGTCACCCAGTGAAAAAGGAACAGCTGTGAACCCTCTACCCCTACCCACATCAAGGTGAGTCACATTTGGGGTGTCATCTGAGTCACTGAGATCCATATCTAGCAGGATATTAAAAGAGCTAAAATTGGCTTAATCCAATATGGCAATATACAAAGTCCAAATGAAAGTATATCCAAAAGTCCCCAAAGTTTGATTCTGTTACCCAACAGTCTAAACAATAAGGAGGCCGATGCTCCACGATGCTGCTGCCACGAGAAGACACCAGACCGATCCAGCAGCATCACGAACGAGTTACGGCACCAATGTGACCTCTGTGTAGTGTCTTCTCTGGTCTGCATTCACAACAAAAAGGCAACAAGTTAGAATGCTTTCGTTTACTCTCGTGGACAGTCGGCGTAAGACCTAAATGGAAAAGCAACAACAGCGTTAGCTAACTATGCTCCCATGTTTTATCCCTCTCTTCCCAATGAAGAAATCTCACATAAACGTGCATTCAATTCAACATAAGGACATGAGAAATGACCCGCAACAAATGATGTTTAAACAACAAAAATAATCCGGTCAGATTGTACTACTGTTACAACCAGCGATATGATTTTTCTTCCCCATGACATTTGCGCATTCCTTACCTCAATCCCTTGACTGGTTTGTTCTTAGGAAGTTTGCATAACAACTCTTTGCCACTTGAGAATAACTTGAACTTGAATTTATCTGAATTTAACACCAACTTAATTTGAGTCAAATGGGACTGAACATCATCAAAGGCAGACTGCACAAATTCAAGTGTACTTCATCTGAATAAAAATGTAATGCAGCATTTTTATCTATGTACACAGAAGAGCAGTGGTCCAAATATGGAGCCCTGGGGAACTCCTTTGGACACTGTTCTAGCTGACAGATAATTTGATAACCAACTCACAGCATATAACACACAGCAATATTGTTTAGTCTGTTTACTAAAATAGCAGGACAACTGTATCAAAAGCCTCTTACAAGCCAAGACAAAGAGGAGCTCAGTATTTTTTCAGTCCATTGCATTAATGATGTCATTGATCCACTTTAACAGCAGCAGTTATTGTGCTGTGTTGTTTACTGACTGATGTTGGGAAAGAATTAAATATTTGCCCAAATTCTTTGAGTTGTTCACTAATAAGCTTTTTGTAAACTTAAACACAGTATTTAGATGTGGGTCTGCAGTTATTAACATCATCTCTTTTCATCAAAGAGAGAACATTGGTAGATTTCCATATTTCAGGGATCTCAGTGTTCAAAAGACTAAAACTAAAAATATAAGTTAGTGGTTCTGTTATATAATCTGCAGCCAGTTTAATAAAATAAAGATCTGGTCCTGCACATTTATTTGGATCCAACAGATTTAAAGTTCTGTGGACTTCCAGGACATTCAGAGGAGAAAAGCTGAAGGCTTGAAGCACAGAGTTTGAGTTGTTACAGAGAGCCTCCTGTGCCATAAGCTGTTTGAAATCTGATGTAAAGATTCAAATAAAGACCCCGAAGAAACAAAATGTATAAAGCACTTAAAATATCAAATTTTTCAGTAAAGTACTTCAGCCTTTTAAAACAAAATCTGGTATTTTGGTGGCTATATCCCCTTAATAAGATTTTATTATTTTCCAGAACTTTTTAGGATCATTAAGATGTTTAATGATTTTTCAAAGCTAAAGCTCTGATTTGGCCTTTTTTAATTTTAGAAGGTTTAATGATTTCTGCAGAACTCCAAGGACAAAACTAAGCATTCTGTAAATATTCCATGCCAGCTCTACATCAGTAATGAGGTGGATTCTGTTCCAGTTGTCGTCCCAGAAATCATAAAATAAATTTTGCTCACAGAAATTCTTAAAATCTCTTAAAAACTATTTGAGGCTTTGATTTTGGGAGCTTCAATTGTCTGACTGCAGCGATCACACAGTGGTCACTGACCTCATTTGAAAAACACTAATATGTGTGTGTTAGTTCTAGTTATGTACAGGTCCTGGATCAATGTGATGAATTTAGAAGCAGTAAATTAGAGTTGATCCAGGCCTTGTGTCTTTAAAACGTGCCTGTAAATGATATGACAGGTATTAATCATGAAAATCGAATGTGTATCATTTGGAGAGCAATCATACACATCTATGAATAATTTTTGTTTGTGAAGGAAACTCCTCAGTTTTACTTTTTGAAGAAAACTCCTCATTTACATGAACAAACTGGAATCTATCAGATGTGATTCAAACCACTGCAGTAAGTTTCCTTTAATAACTCTGGTGTGTTCTAGTGTTTGTAGTAAAATGTTGTGGTCTACACTGAGGTCTAACAGGACACGCACAGGAATAAGTCCACTGTAACAGGTCATAAGAAGACCATTAGTAACCTTCACTACAGCTCATGTTGTGCTTTGTTGTCCTCTCAGTTTATAAGGTGGGGGTGAATTCAGAGGTGGAGTCTGTCCAGCTGATCTGCAAAACCACAGTTTGCCTGCCTAAAGATGCTAAAGTGGAGTGGAAGGATGCAAACAACAGGAAGGTCCACATGTATGAGAACGGCTCTGACCAGCCTGAAGAACAGGACGATAAATACAAGAACCGAACAAAGATGAAGAGAAACTTGCTGGAACCTGGAGACCTCAGTCTGACCCTGAAACACCCCACAGATGGAGACAACTCCACCTACACCTGCACCGTCTACAACAGGGAGAGAAACATCCTGATGGAGAAACAAGTGGAGCTGAAAGTCAAAGGTCAGTGCTGTAGATACAGGTCAGAGGTCAGACTCATGATGGTGGTTCAGTCTCAGTGGGCTCCATCCAATAATGTTACAGTGTTAGCATGTCTGATGTTTGTGGCTGTTTTGGTTTTTATTTGATTTCCAGCCAAATGTAAAAGCTTCAGCAGATGAACTGTAGGAGCAAAGTTCATGTGTGAGACTTCATCTGAAAGGTAACATCTTCTAGTTTCTGAACATGTGTTTGTTTAGCATGTGGCTAAAACACAGGCTAAGCTATGTCAGCTCAAATCTCAGTAAAAACCTTCTTTGGTCCTCATCTATAATCAGTCATATCTGAGTCACAATAACTAGAAGATGATTTCTAGCAGAAGTGTGAACATCTCCACATCCTTTCTCCATGTTATCATCCAAAGCTGTGTGAAGTTTCAGAGCTCTGCAGCTAACAGAGACTTTCAGTTTGCTGCTCTCTTCCTCTGACAGCTCCATTCTTAGGGAGCGTTAGTTCTGTTTCACTTTATTCCACTTATTCAGTCTGATGTTCTCTGATCTGTTTCTCTTGTTTAGTGTTTTAAATGCTGCCAGTGCCTCTCTTTGCTTTAACCAACCTTTCTCTTTATTTCTGAGCTTTTTAAGGACTTTAACTGATGCATCAACCTTTGAAAATGGAAAGAAATCAGTCAGATTCATGGCTGCATCACAGTGTCACATGTAGTTCTCCACATCAGCTGGATTATATCTATAGCAGCAAACAGCAGCTGATGCACAAATCTTTGTCTGTGTGAATAAAGTTGGATCAGTTCAAACAGTTTGTTGCTCTGCTTGAAAGCAGCAGTTTTTCTAATGCACCACCTTCATGTTTCCTTCATATTTGAATCCCCCTGTAGATGCTGACAGGTAACCATGTCACACAGAGCTCAAGCCTTTGAATCCAGCTGTGACTGTTGATTTTCTATTGAATGGACTTTTTCAAATCCAGCTGTAGGCCTGTGTTTGTGAGCTCATTAACAGCTGTTTGTTTAGAGAGACGTGGTCCTCACAGGACAGCCACTACAAACATATGATTTTATAGAATATGATGCATTACTGCAGATTCAACACAATAGAAAGGATTTGAAATGAGCTCAGCCTTAAACATGTGCAGCAGTAATATTGATCCACAGACACTGATGGGAACATTTTTCTGCACAATAAGTACTTTGACTTTTCATACTTTATGTACAATTTGCCAGTACTGCAGTTTTGTGTGTAGTGTAGTGTAGTGTAGTTATACATGCTTCCCTTAGACAGCTTCATTAGAAGACATAGCATACATTTTCACTGCTATGCTGATGACACCCAGCTCTATCTGTCCATGAAGCCAGATAACACACACCAATTAGTTAAACTGCAGGAATGTCTTAAAGACATAAAGACCTGGATGGCCGCTAACTTTCTGCTTCTTAATTCAGATAAAACTGAGGTTATTGTACTCGGCCCTGAAAATCTTAGAAATATGGTATCTAACCAGATTCTTACTCTGGATGGCATTACCTTGGCCTCCAGTAACGCTGTGAGGAACCTTGGAGTCATTTTTGACCAGGACATGTCCTTCAACGCACATATTAAACAAATATGTAAGACTGCTTTCTTCCATTTGCGCAACATCTCTAAAATTAGAAATATCCTGTCTCAGAGTGATGCTGAAAAACTAGTTCATGCATTTATTACTTCCAGGCTGGACTACTGTAATTCATTATTGTCAGGATGTCCAAAAAACTCCCTGAAAAGCCTTCAGCTAATCCAAAATGCTGCAGCAAGAGTCCTGACAGGGACTAGAAAGAGAGAGCATATTTCTCCTGTTTTGGCTTCCCTTCATTGGCTTCCTGTTAAATCCAGAATTGAATTCAAAATCCTGCTCCTCACATACAAGGTCTTAAATAATCAGGCCCCATCTTATCTTAATGACCTTGTAGTACCATATCACCCTATGAGAGCACTTCGCTCTCGCTCTGCAGGCCTACTTGTTGTTCCTAGAGTATTTAAAAATAGAATGGGAGGCAGAGCCTTCAGTTTTCAGGCCCCTCTTCTGTGGAACCAGCTTCCAGTTTGGATTCGGGAGACAGACTCTGTCTCTCTGTCTCTCTTCCACAACATGTCTTTATCCTGTTTTCCTTCTCTCACCCCAACCGGTCGCAACAGATGGCCGCCCCTCCCTGAGCCTGGTTCTGCCGGAGGTTTCTTCCTGTTAAAAGGGAGTTTTTCCTTCCCACTGTCGCCAAAGTGCTGCTCATAGGGGGTCATATAATTGTTGGGTTTTTCTCTGTATCTATGAAGCACCTTGAGGCAACTTTTGTTGTGATTTGGCGCTATATAAATAAAATTGAATTGAATTGAATTGATAGTGAGGTGTTTTCATGGTGTTTTCTTGGTGCTTTTACTAAAGGAAGGCTTCTATCAAATTCTTCCACATGTTGTCAAACTGAGCTGTGTGATGAAGTGAGTGTGACAGAAACACTCAGACTGTGTTTCTCTGCTTCATCAAGTCAAATCTGGTCCTCAGAGACTGAATAAAGTCCTGTCCCACTAACAGCAGCTCCAACAGTCTGTTCACTGCTTTCTTCCTGTCAGTCTTCATCTTTCTGCTGCGTCTCCTCTTCACACTGACCACTTTCTATCTAACAGTGAGCTCCCAGTGAAGCAGCAGCATTCAGCCTGTTAGAGTCAACACAAATGTCTCCATCCAAGCTCATGTTGTGCTTTGTTGTCCTCTCAGTCCCCCCCGTGGAGGTGGATTCAGGGGTGGAGTCTGTCCAGCTGCCCTTCAACACCACACTTCACCTGCCTGAAGACGCTAAAGTGGAGTGGATGGACAATTATACAAGTTACTACAACAGGAAGGTCCACGTGTATAAGAACGGCTCTGACCAGCCTGAAGAACAGCACCAGGTTTTCAGAGACCGAACGAAGAGGAATGAAGACCTGCTGAAAACTGGAGACCTCAGTCTGACCCTGAAACACCCCACAGATGGAGACAACAGGACCTACACCTGCACCGTCTACAGCAGGGAGGGAAACATCCTGCTGAAGAAACAAGTGCAGCTGACAGTCAGAGGTCAGTGCTGTAGATACAGGTCAAAGGTCAGAGGTCAGACTCGTGATGGTGTTTCAGTCTCAGTGGGCTCCATCCAATAATGTTACAGTGTTAGCATGTCTGATGTTGAGGTTAGCATGTGATGTCACACTGACCACTTTCTATCTAACAGTGAGCTCCCAGTGAAGCAGCAGCATTCAGCCTGTTAGAGTCAACACAAATGTCTCCATCCAAGCTCATGTTGTGCTTTGTTGTCCTCTCAGTCCCCCAGGTGGAGGTGGATTCAGGGGTGGAGTCTGTGCAGCTGCCCTTAAACACCACACTTCACCTGCCTGAAGATGTTACAGTGGAGTGGAAGGATAACAATGCAAAGGTTCATGTGTATGAGAACGGCTCTGACCAGCCTGAAGAACAGGACCAGGTTTACAGAGACCGAACGAAGATGAATGAAGACCTGCTGCAAACTGGAGACCTCAGTCTGACCCTGAAATACCCCACAGACTGGGACAACTGGACCTACACCTGCACCGTCTACAGCAGGGAGGGAAACATCCTGCTGAAGAAACAAGTGCAGCTGACAGTCAGAGGTCAGTGCTATAGATACAGGTCAAAGGTCAGAGGTCATGCAGGAGTTTATTCTCTAAAACCTTTTAGTTTGAATCTATTTTCAGTTCATTCAAATAAAACAAATTCTTTAATGTTTTGATCTATAAGCCAAAAATGTCAGGCGGAGCAACTGTGTGTTTAAATGAACTAAGAAGACCATTAAAATGATCCTAACTTCAAAATAAAAGCCTCTGGCATGACGTGAGTTTGGATCAAATCAATAGTTTTGCTAGTTTAGTCCAAATCAATGTAAATGTATAAATATCAATAGTTTTAAAGCTGCTGAGATCATTCAAACACTTTGATCCAGTCATTTTGATGTTGTCAAATGTCAACCAACCAACACCTGGGTGGAGTCCCAGCTGAAGCTGAGAGAAACTCAGGTCAGAGACAGAAGCAGCTGTATGTAAGCATTCTACAGGACGGCAGACACAAACCTGATGTTACTGATGTCTCCTAGATAGATCTCATGGACCAAAGGCTCTCTGTGTCATCTCGGCTCCAGCTGAACTAAACTGAGAGTGAATTTGGGCTTTCAGGGAGGGGTGAAAGCAGAGCGCTGTAAAGGAAAGGGCTGTGATTGGTTCAGAACACGTCAATGAGAAGAAAGGAAAGCTTCAGAGCAACATGAATGAAACAAAGTGTTTTGATGATGACTGAAAGCCAAAACTGTCCCTGAAATCAGAATCCAGTTCATCTCCAGCCCTGTCAGCAGTTCCAGCTGCAGTGCTGTTACAATAATAGTCATCACTTCTAGTTTCACAGCAGGAAACTGGGAACATTCAGCGTCTCAAAGATTGACCTGTTAGCACCTGCAGACATTGTTGAGCTGGCTCTGCTGATCTTGTCTTCATTTCTCCACTATTTGGAGAAGCTTCAGCAGGATCCACAGTCAGAGTCAAAGTGGAGTTCTAGCATGGACGTGACGCTTCAAGAAGCTTCAGACAGACAGTGTTCTCCAAAAGTTCTGCTCTAAAAGGAAACTTTGAGCTGGCTCTGTGATTGTTGTAGTCAGAAGGATGGAGGCTGGATCTTTGAAGAGCGTCAGCGTACTGACACAGCTGCTTCTGCCTGATCACTTGGAACAGGGCTGCCCAATCCCAGTCCTCGAGAGCTACTATCCTGCAGCTTTTAGATGCATCCCTACTCCAACACAGCTGAATCAAATGAATGGCTTGTTATCAGGCCTTTGCCAAACACGATGGCATGCTGAAGAGGTAATCAAACCATTTGATTCAGCTGTGTTGGAGTAGGGATGCATCTAAAAGCTGCAGGACGGTAGCTCTCGAGGACCGGGATTGGGCACCCCTGACTTGGAAAAATGATCTCAAACAGAATCCATCAATGATCAGAGAAACACATCAGCTCAAAGCCTGGAGTTCATACTGAAGCCCACAGTTATATGTAGGCCAACAACACGCTGTTTGAAACCAATGAATTTACTGTACTGAGGAACTCAAATGAGTCAGTAAGATCATCTACATGGATCTTAAAATCAGCAGCTCAGATCATGTGATCACACATAAGAACCATGGAGCAGGAAACATCTGAGAGTTCAGCTGCAACTCTGATGGAGTCTTAGGAGGGCGGACATACCTGCACAGATAGGAGCTGTTTCACACTTTACTTTAACAAGCAGCACCTCCAAACTACACCCTTCTTCCACCTTAATAGGGGAGCATTTGAAGTGTCGAAAATGTCCCAGAGGGTCGGGCCGGGAAAAGACAGAGCGCACGCCTCCTTTATTGTGAAATTCCTCACCATGGTAACTGAACACATCAGCTGGTCTGCAGCAGGTCATGTTCAGAGTTTGAGGCTCAAAGTGTCCCATTTTCACTGATTGTTTCCCGACGACATGCTTCACGTGTGATATGGATCCTCTGCTGAAGGAATCTGCTTTCTATCCACAACCTGTTGAGCCGTGTCTGACTAACAGCAGCGCAGGAAGCCCTGCAGTTACAGAGAAACTGTCTGAGTCGCATTGTTGCTGCAGTTTACTTGCAACTACTGTGAAGAAAATGTTACGGTTGGGAGGAGGACTCAAGCGCAGGACTCCGGTACTGATGCTTACAAGAATAGTTTATTTACAAGTCACCAGGTGTATATACAAGAATGTGCGGGAGGGTGTTATATACAGCTGAGTGGGGGGAGAAGGGGTCTCCAGGAAAGTCCAAGGGAAGCATACGTTCTTCAGAATATCCACTCACATGATCACAGGCTCACACTCCGACACTGCCACACGGGAAACACACGGGGAAAAATCCAGGAAGCTCTGTAGACAGGGAGACAGGGTTAAGGACGACGCACAGAGGAAAACACTCTTCACTAAACTTGCTGTAGCTTGACTTCACTAACGCGTGGTAGACAACGATCCAGCGACGAACAGCAGTCACCTCCTGGCTTAAATGCTGCTCCCCTTAATGAGACCCAGGTGTCTCATCTCCCGAGGGCGTGGGCCGAGGGCGTGAACCCACAGTGAGTTCCGCCCCGGCGAGAGAGGAGAGGAAGAGAAAGAGACAGAGAGGGCTGATCAGCGTGCAGCTGATCCGCCTGGCCGTGACAGTAGCCTCCCCGACCGGAGCCCCTTGGCGACCCCCAGGCTTGTCAGGGTGAGCCGCATGGAACACCCGCACCATACCCCGATCCAAGAGGGCCGCCCGCGGGATCCAAGAACGCTCCTCCATCCCATAGCCCTCCCAATCCACGAGATACTGCAGACCGCGCCCCAGGCACCGGACATCCATGATCCTCGACACGGTGAAAGCCGAGTGGCCAGCAATGACCCGGGCGGGCGGAGGGGGTACGGAAGGAGGGCACAGAGGACTAGAGAGGCACGGCTTCACCTGCGACATGTGGAAGGTGTTATGGATCTTCATATTCCGGGGCAGTTTAAGACGGACAGAGACAGGGTTAATCACAGAGTCGACCTCAAAGGGGCCAATGAAAGTGGGAGACAGCTTCTTGGATTCAGACCTGAGCGGAACAAATCTGGTAGACAGCCTCTGTCCAGGTGTGTAGGTGGGAGCAGGGGTCCGGTGGCGATCCGCCAGGCGCTTATTGCGTTCCGCCGTGCGGAGAAGGGAGGCCCGAGTCGCTCTCCAGGCGCGCCGACACCTCCGAAGATGCTGCTGGACAGAGGGAACAAAGTGCTCACCCTCGACGGCCGGAAAGAGCGGCGGTTGATAGCCCAAGGACGCCTCGAAAGGGGACACACCGGTGGCAGAGGAGGTAAGGCTGTTATGAGCATACTCGATCCATGACAGTTGCTCGCTCCAAGTCGACTGGTTAGAGGAGACCAGGCACCGGAGAGCCGCTTCGAGCTCCTGGTTTGCACGCTCCATTTGGCCATTTGTCTGCGGGTGGAAGCCAGAGGAGAGGCTGACCTGGGCTCCGAGGGCATTGCAGAACTCCTTCCAGACCCGCGACGTGAACTGCGGTCCCCTGTCCAACACAATGTCCGCGGGGATTCCATGGAGGCGAAACACGTGGTCAGTTAGTAGCCGGGCGGTTTCCAGAGCAGTGGGGAGCTTAGGAAGGGCGACAAAATGAGCAGCTTTGGAGAAGCGGTCCACAATGGCGAGAATAACAGAGTTACCTGATGAGGCGGGCAGACCTGTGATGAAGTCGACAGCGATGTGTGACCAAGGGCGACTCAGAGTCGGCAGAGGGCGAAGGAGGCCAGAGGGGGTTGATGGACGCTCTTGTTTTGAGCGCAGGTCGAGCATGCGGAAACATATTCGCGGACGTCCTTGGCAAGGGAAGGCCACCAGGCGAAACGTTGGAGGAAAGTAACAGTGCGGTGGACCCCCGGGTGGCAGGTGAATCTGGCAGTATGAGCCCAATGTAACACTCATGACCTTACTGAGGAGGGGACGAAGAGCAACCCTGGAGGTCCCGTTCCGGGGTCCGGTTCCGTCCGCTGAGCCTCTCGAATAGCCGACTCGATCTCCCAGGTCAGGACCCCGATTACACAAGTGGGCGGTAGAATGGAAGAGTCCTGGGTCGCGTCTTCGGAGGCGGCGAATTGGCGTGAGAGGGCGTCTGGCTTGACATTGCGGGAACTGGGTCTGTAAGTGATCGTGAACTGGAATCTAGTAAAAAACAAGGCCCACCTGGCTTGCCTGGCGTTGAGGCGTTTTGCCGATCGAATGTACTCCAGGTTCTTGTGATCGGTCCAGACCACAAATGGCTGGACAGCACCCTCCAGCCAATGGTGCCACTCCTCCAGGGCTAGCTTGATGGCCAGTAGCTCTCGATCTCCCACATCGTAGTTGCTCTCTGCGGAGGTGAGACGGCGTGAAAAGTAGGCACAGGGATGCAGCTTACCTCCGTGCCGCTGGGAAAGCACCACTCCAACGTCCGCGGCGTCCACCTCCACAACGAACTGCCGGTCGAGATCGGGTTGGACGAGGATGGGCACCGAGGCGAAGCGGTCCTTCAGACGGGTGAATGCTCGTTGAGCCGGCCCATCCCAGCAGAAGGGAACCTTGGGGGAAGTAAGACGGGTCAGAGGCAGGGCAAGTGTACTGTAGTCGCGAACAAAGCGCCGATAAAAGTTCGCGAACCCCAGAAAGCTTTGAAGCTGTCTACGCTTGGAAGGGGTCGGCCAGGCCACAACGGCTTGAACCTTCGCGGGATCAGTCTTGAGGTTACCCCGATCGATGACGTGGCCCAGGAAGGCAATAGTTGAGACATGAAACTCACACTTCTCCCCTTTAACAAAGAGACGGTTTTCAAGGAGACGCTGAAGGACTTGCCTGACATGGCGTTGGTGGTCAGCGACAGATTGGGAGAAGATGAGGATGTCATCCAAGTAAACGAAAACGAAATGGTCGATGAAATCCCG